TGTGTGTGTGTGTGTGTGTATATATATATATGTGTGTGTGTATACACTATTTAACTATTTAAGCAAAGTTTTTTTTCCAAACAAAACATCACAGACTCATCGTTTGTGAATGAGTTTCCCCTTTTTTCTTCTCATCATAAGTTATTCCTACATCACCTACATATGAGAACAATTGCATGATGTGCTCCCATGAAGAATTAATCTAATCAAATTCTCTCTAAATTCTTCTCACCATGAAGGGACAGAAGTGTCTTCCAGCCTCTATGATGCCACAACTCAGATCCCTTATTATTCCACCCTGCCGTCTGTGTACAGTACGGGGAGCATAGACAAGCTACATAAAACCAAATTTTTGAAAACTATATATAGTACAAGCTTTCACAAAGCTTATTGGACAATAAGAAGCCTACAAACAACAACATAGTGCAAAATCAGATACCAAATAAGGTGCACAAGTCTAACACCACAAGATGAAATATTTGTTTTGCTTTCCATGCAGTAGCAGATCTAGGGGTCTGTCAAAAGCTCTGTTTTCAGGGACCTAAAATGCCAATTATATGAAAACAAAACACCAAAACTCATACCTGTGTATGTCCAGATAAGACCTAAACCAATTAATACGGTTAGCAATTTCAATGCCAAAAACTGAAAAGGCAAATAACCAAAGCAATAACAGCTAATTGGCCATTAAATATACTTTTACCACTTTTATTTTTTTCTGCTTTGGGCAGAAACCTCCATGCCTCAGAGTTTGTGGAAAGCAGATATAAAAATGAATGTAATGTGAGACATTTTGGTACATCTGGTATTAAGCTTTGCAGAAGGGTTCTCAATCACTTGTAAATGATGCAGCGATTACCAGCTAAAGCACATAAAAAGAAGTTTTGAGTGATGCAACATCAATAAGCTTCCCTTCACAAGCACAGCAAATCAAAAGAACATTAGCAAAAGATCTACATGAGATGACTGCTCATGTGGTCCTTTATGGTGTTTAATTAACTATAGAAAAAGAGGTTTTAAGATATTTCAAGCCTGACTGTAGCTTAATGGTAGCGCCTTTGTACACTAATGTTCACATTCACAATGGGAAGCAGAAAAGAAAAGGCAGAAAACAAAGGAAATGATCGTTAATACGGAGGAGGAAAACATAATGCAGGTTTAACATTAAAGAGCACATACTCAGCAACACAGACAATGTCTGTCACATACTTACATTTTTTTTGAGACAGAATGAACGTCTGTTATTGTTTGTGCCTCAGGTTAATGATCAGATTTAGCACAGAAACATGTATTTCATGATGTTGATGTCTGTGCCCATGATGTTCCCCGTGTACTCTCCTCTATCATCACTTCCGCTTATTCGCTTGTTTGTCACAAATCAGTGTGCGGTAGAGTAGAAATCAAGCAGCTCTCTTTCCCTTAGCCTAGGCCAGACTTCTGTCATTTGACATCCAGCGATGGCCATGCTGATGAGTCTCTTGAATACAGCTGCTTGTCTCCTGGCAACAGATGCCTCCAACTCCGGCACACTGAGTGCTCACAGCGCCGGTACAACCGGCATGTAACAAACACCAGATATGACAAACAGTATGCATAAAATCTATAATGAATTAAATCAGCGGTCCCCAACCCCCGGGCCTCGGACTGGTACCGGTCCGTGAGTCGTTTGGTACCGGGCCGCGAGAGTTGAGGCTCAGGTGTGAAATGTATGGTTTTCAGGGTTTTTATCGGTTTTCAGCATTATTTTGTTATCGTTTTTATCGTTAACTCGGTTTTCCTGGGTCTTTTCACTTGTGTTATGAATAAATCTTCTTTTTTTTCGGTACCAGTACTAGTTTTATTTTGTTGTATTTATCCGCGACACCTTAAAGGCTGGTCCGTGAAAATATTGTCGAGCTTAAACCGGTCCGTGGCGCAAAAAAGGTCGGGGACCGCTGAATTAAATCACACCTCAAAATCTACTGAAGTGGAAAATATGATACAAAAGTATCATTCATGGAAAAAATAGCCTAAAAAATGTAGAAGATATATTTGAGAAGACTTCTTTATCAAATACTGACTGATATTTATGTGTTTCATATGTAACTTCAGAAGTGCATAAACACATGTGTTTCTATGTGAAGGTATATGCACTGGCAAATGCAAAGATACATAGTAGTGATTGCATTCGATGCATGCTAATATGTGCAGAACCTGTGGCTGATAACGCTCCCTGTGTTTACTTACTGAAAATGGGTGACGTGAAGCTCTACAGTTTATGTAGTCTGATGTTCTCCGTCTTGTAAATTACATTTATTTAGCAATTTTTTTCTCCCTCTCTAAATTCTGGAAAATCCAAAGAGTACAACACTGAAAAACTGGAGTGACTGAGAATTAATATTGTTGTGGAATGGATTACTGGTCACGCACAGACATGAAGGGATTTACTGGCACCTTAATGAATCTGATGAAACTGTCTAGTAACGCTGATTACCTTAAACGAGTAAAAACTCAGCTGTCTAATGTTGTTCTTACCACACTTGGGAATTAAGACAGAGTCAGTTATGTAACACATTGTACCAAGTTCTATTTTTACGGCAGCATACGGCAGAATGTGCGTTCGTGGTTAGACGTGTCCAAACCAGTAGTGCTGATTTCAAGAACTAAATCTAGGAAGTGAAATCTGTAACACAAGGATGCGAGGGAATGGTGTGCAGACAGGTAAAGGTGAAGTAAATGAAGGGACTTACTTCTTATTCTGATTCTCCTTTCGGTCAGCTGAGCCCAGACTCTGGAAATAATTAAAGAAAAAGAGAGATCAGAAATGCTTTCAAGGATTTCCCGTCTTTAAGGATTCAAAGAGAAGTCTCCTGTACATGCTGTGAAACAATGGGATGGTTCAGAGGTTCTAAACCTAATAAACTTCATGAAGACTGATTTGTTACATTAGTGGAGGTTTGTCTGCACTGGAGGCATAAAGGGTTACATCAAAAAGACTCTGTGCACAGTTGGCAACCACCTGCTCAACAGCGGAGACTTTCTGGTAATAGCAGTAATAATACAGTAGGAATTAATAATTAATTAATAAATATTATTAGTTAAAAAAAGCATAAAAATCAACCAAAGCATCAGTCGGTTAGTTATTCCCAATCAAGTCACACGTTGAGCTATCTTTTCTGTTCTCTTAACTGAGTTTCGATTATTAGACTTGAAGTGATCCAACTACCTTCTAGGCAACACCAATCAAATGATCATCAACATCTAGTAAGTGCCAATTACGTCAGTAACGACCTGGCCTCCAATGAAAAACAATAAGCTCTCTGGATAAAATTACAAACACTTATCCCATGGATTTGCTTTATTTGCACGCATTCATCAAACCGTGGCGTCTTCATGCAAGGTGGCGCGCACGGTCGTTTTAAAGGAAGCGAGGGAGAATAAACGTAGAGGGAGCGAGTTTAAAAGCCATTTTCCCGATGATGAAGTCAACCGAGTTTAGAAACTCGAACGGCAAAACGAATACACCCCGCCGGCTTGCCTCAACGGGGGATGTTTGAATGCATCCCTCTGGCAAAGCCACACACAATGACACAAAACACATCTATAGCGGACGTCTATAAACCCTGCTGTCTGCATCCTTCTGAGGTGTATTGCGCTCAAAGGAGATGCATGCTGAGACAGCGCATACACAAAAATACCGGCACACAAACACAAACAACTGGCCTTAAGCTGTAGACAATTTTGGAGTGAAATTTTGTTGCTATTTTGCATATTTACCTTTGGGAAAGATACTAATCTGGACTCTTAAATGTTAAAAGCACTGTGGAGAAAAAAGTGGGGAATCTGAACGCCCTGAGGGAGCCGACCAAACAAATACTGTCAGTCAACACACTTAAATCCACTGCATTTCAATTTGACCCATCTATTCTCTGTGGTATAATCACAGGGGACTACAAGGAAATGTTTCTGTCTTCTAGGAATTAAAAAAAAACCCTCCGATGCTCAATGGATTACAAGACCATGAGCTTTAAAATTGAGCTTTAAAATCCACTTAAAGCTAATGCTAGCAGGTCAATACACTACAATATTAAACATAACAATGGGTACAAGGCTCACTCTAACATTTTCAAGAATACCAAAAGACTGTAAGTGTGTAAGTTCACCTATAGGAAGAACATTTTACTGTGCATCTTGAGACACTTGTCAGTTCTTTATGTTTTGCTTTTAAAGAGCCAGACTTTCTTGCAATTTTTAAGGTGGTCTTGAGCAACAGTTCTCCAGGCTTTTTGAAGTTTTACCAAAGATTTACTTTGAAATTTGGCTGTTTTTTCACTCATTTTCAGTCTGGTCTTTGTACCTGACCTTTTTCTCAGGACTTATTGTTTGTTAATCCACTCAACACTGACTTATGAATCACCTGGGCATAAAAAAGCACCCAATCAAATGGACAAATAAGTGTTGCGTCTACACACATTCGACACATCTTTAGTCGAATCTACATAAACTCAGTAACAGTCTGACATCTACAGCAGATAAACAGTATCTGAAAGTCATGTTATTATAAAATAGGGAATAAAATCCACACAGAAACCTAAGACATCTGGCCCTTCAGTTGAGCCATCTACTATTAGCCAAAGCCTCATCAGAAATAGTAAAGATGGCTGTTAAGAAGACATTCTTAAGGACAGGATAGAGGGAGAAAAGGCTCACATATTCCAAACAAAAACTCCTCTGAAAATCAGGTCTTATGAAGTGATGAATCCAAATCATATTTTTGGTTTGAATCAGCAATCCACCCTGGAATACAATCTGGAGTGTCTGATTGGCAGCGGCTTCATTTTTCAACATTACAGTGGTTTCAGACACACTCCTAATGCAACACAAACACCATCAGTCATGGATTGGCCTCCCCAGAGCCCGGACCTCCACATTATTGAAGCAGTGTGAGATCATCTTCACACAGAACAGAACAAAAGGCAGAAACATCCAAAGAAGAGCCTTCAAGAAGCCTGGAGAACTATTCCTGAAGACTACTTAAAGACATTAAAAGAAAGCTAGGAGCATTGAGGCTGTGCCGAAGAATAAAGGTCATTTTACATTTTATCTGAACTGTCTTAAATGCAAACAACACAAACAATCAGTTTGCTTTTTGAAGCTCAAAAAGATGCAAACGTTTGAAAAAAGCATCCCCTTCCTTTTAATCTCAACCTGAACATCACAGAAGTGTTTTTCTCTTTCTTTTTTGGAGTGTGTGTGTGTGTGTGTGTGTGTGTGTGTGTGTGTGTGTGTGTGTGTGTGTGTGTGTGCTTTCATGTAAGCAGTGTGAGCTGACATTTTGACCAGCCAGTGACTTTTCTACTCTGGCGCACAGAGTGTGTGGATATGAGTGTGTGTGCTTTTATGTGCTCACTGCTATGACATTTTGACCATCCTCTCTGTGCATACATGTTTGCATACAAGTTTCATCCTGATGGAGGGGACAGGATACACCACACAGAGTGATTAACCTTTCACCTGCCAGCTCGCCCACAGTGCCTTCAGGTAGTACCACTCTCCCAAGAGGGATGAGGGCAGGTGGGTGTGCATCATTTGAAAGACAGCTCTGCAGGGGGTGAAGGAGGGCTATTTTAGAACCTTGGAACATTAATGACTCGCAGCTAAATTGTCTGCACACGAATATCACTACAGCATTACACAATATTAGTATTTTGCACTCATATTCCTATTTTTAACATTAGATTGCCACTTTTAAATCTTCAAATCAATTTTCAAGCACACCGAAAGTAAGAGTAGAAGGATCATCCCTCGTATTTGAGCCATTACAGCATCTGTCCCTATTACACTTTTATTGTTTTATCTTGGCTGCTCATTAGTTTTACTTTCAGTACCTGAAATCTAGCATAAGAAAAAAAACCGAACAAATAAAATCAGTCAAACAATCAGTCGCTCAGTCTGCACCTGCTCACCTCTTTCTCCCTGTAGCCACAGAAAGCATCACCAGCAGTCAGCTGAGGTAAAATACAGGATGAGTTATAATCACCACTCCTTTACCAAACCTTCAGCCTACATCAACATGAGCAGCATGCATCGCACCTGACAACTGCTGACTATTTCTGGAATGTATGGAAAAAATTCATCTGGCTTTTCCTGTCAGCTGTGCATAAAGGTGCTGTAATTACTAATATGAAAGAGACCACACGGAGCGGTCAGGAGTCTGATAGCAATAAATACAAAACAAGCAACCAGTTAAAAAAAAAAAATCAATATCTCAGCAGCGTGTTTGAATAGGAAGGTGTGTGAGCACATACCTTTACAGTACCCAGCACCCCCTGGTTTCTGCTGGTAAATCACATTCACACCATATTCTAAATGTTTTAAAAGCACAGACATGTTTATCTCTAAATATTTCCTCATTAGCAAAACAAAAAAAGAGTGAAACATGAACTACACATAAAGTAAAAATGCACAGGCAGCTGGCAAACTATATTTGCAAAATCTGTATGCACTATTTGCAAACACACACAGAGACACTGACATACCTGCTGAGTCCAACCCAGTAAACCCAGTCGGAGAACGCTATTCCCACTCTCTCCCTGTGTCGCTTCTCACTTCTTCTACAAAACCCGAGGTCCTCACTGCGCCGACTCCGATTGCTGTTCACCTGTTCAACTTCAACTCTTTAGCTCTGTTTCTCCCCCTCGGTGTTCAACTCTCTCTGTTTTCCTGTCTTGTTGTCTGAAGCTTTTGGTCACACGTAAGGTTTGCGAAGCTTGCTCCAGTGGTGGCTGCTACCACCACTGACTTGTTGTACTTTAATTGTAGTTGCTAGGCGATAAGCTTCTCCAATTCGGCACACAGTGTGAAGGGGAGGACGGAAGGGAGGGGGGGGGAGTGAGAGAATAGGTGGTGGTGGTTGGTGGGGGGGGTAAATGCTCATGACACAGCGTAGCCTAAAGAGAAGGATGGACGATTTGCAGGACGGGAGGTAGTTGAGAGATATGCACAAGGAGAGGAGATCTCACATAGCAGGTGCACTTCCTTGTTTTCTTTTAGCGGCCACTGAGTGCAACCTGGAGCAGCAGCGCACTCAGAGGATTTGCTGTAAATACTCTACATGGACAACGGATTTTAGAGAATTTCTGTGTGCACATTTCCTCACCCTTTTTTTTCTGTTTTATTAAGACATTGTTCTTTTCATACAGCACTGCATTATGTTTGAAAGGACAACTGAGAGCTCAGGTCAACAGCAATTAGTTTGTTATCTGTCTGAGTACTTTACCCCAACCCAACCTAAATCTTGCTTTTGAAGTACACAGGTTTCTAAAGCTGATAAACTATTTAAATCAATTGTTTTTCTGTTTGCAATATGTTATCTAGCCTATCTCTATCACAGCGTGGTGCTACTGTTCTGCCTTGTTAACAAAAATCAGGACCTGTCTTTTAATCTATCTATCTATCTATTAGGGGTGCAACAATACTCGTATCGGTATTGAACCGTTCGATACAGTGCTTTCGGTTCGGTACGCATATGTATCAAACAATACAAACTTTTTTAATTTATTTTATCAACTTTTCTTCTGACGATGCTGTCTGTGTTGAGCGCGCAGTGGATCTGCGTTCCACTACTCCGCCTAGGCTGCACTGTCGAGCACAGATCCACTGAGCGGAGTGTGCTCTTGTGTGGGGGGGAGGGCAAGCTAGCGAGACAGAATATAAGCTCGTTGCAACATGGCAACTGCCTCAACGCTACCCAAAATTGAGCCTCACCCACCCTCATTCAGATGTGGCGTT